TCCGAACCGAGTTCAGCGTGTGCAAGCGTGAATGTTTCCGGTTGGAAGCGTTTCAGTAACGGGCCAGCCGTCCAACAGTCAGCATCGATCTTCGCGGAGATCCTAGATCGCATCGTCGCAGCGGACAATCTCACAAGAAAGCCGATCGAAAAGGAAACTAGATCATCGGGGAAGCCAAAAACAGGCAGCATGCGTAACAAGCTGCTTTTGCTTTGCACGATCTTCGCCCTGCTCGTGGTTGGTAAGTGAAAAGTGGAAGCCGAGTCGTTTCGAGTCAAAACAAAGGATCTTTTCGTCACGTGAATGATTCGTTTTACGCAGGCATTCGTATCACCGACATCCGACAATGAATTCGCGTCATCCAGAGTGTATTTAGTCATTTTCATCGAGTAAATATACGTGTATTCGTAATATCGGACATTTGCGATCAAGGAAACGCGAGTCGACTAGCTGATAGACAAGGAAACTTTCGTAAAAGAGAAACTTTTCTGCGTTTAACGGGATCGAGAGAGATCCTTCGCGCCGCTAAAACTGACGAATAAATCTGATCTTTGTTATCCATAGTCCGCTGTGCTACGAGGTGGGTTTCAAGTTTTTCGGCGGTTCGGTTGTTGTCTTCGTCAAAGGAGAACCGGAAAGACGAGTGCAAAATGTTCTACCGACTCGGTTAATCGGTTTACAACACGCGGAATTGCATGAAAATAGTTCGCAGCGAAGCCGGGGGCAGGGACAATTGCTCTTGTACTTACTCGGACGCCACCAAGACGCGAATGATTATTCACTTGTCCACGTTTAATAGGACTGAAGGAGCGTTCGCGTGTACGTCGCAGAAGCGCCTTACCGGTTCTAGAAAGTCGTGGCCATGCGACTGACATTGAGCACCTAATGACTTTAAAGCGGTTCTCTGAAACTTGAAATCCGCATCACAATAGTGCTCCATCGGGCAGAATTCATCGCGATGACGTGTTACCGTGACTAATCCGGCTCTAAATCGCTGCTGAATAAACAGTAAATAAGCGGCGTCGACCTGATAACGTCGACGCTAATCAATTTTTGAATAGTTTTGGTTATTGTCCTTCCAGCCTCGCTTTTACTTTGCTAGCTGGTAAATACAGTGATTCGGAATCGGGATTGTACAAAGTCGCGATAACGCGACCGTGTTATGTTTTAATGCTATGGGAAAGAAAAAAAGAGACTTATGTAATCTTTCTCTGTAGAGACTTAAGTGTACTAGAATTTAAATGATGAAACGGTGACGGAAAAGAAGTCGACCCCGCTATACTTGCTATCTGTTGTATGTATGACATTACAAGAAGAAAAACGTTTTATCTAATCGTTCAAGTGAACGCCAGTGTCGCGGTGCGGTATAAATAAATTTAGAGAGTATGGATTTAATGTAATTTCTCCATTATTATATTATCGAATGAAAATTCTGCGAACAATGCAAACATGTCGCTTTTGCTACCAGTTCGAAGGTCGTGCAGGATCGCGGGCACTGTGCAGATATAATCGTGTTAACAATATATCATTATTTTATTTAGCTGGTTGTTAGATTGTTAGAGCCCGGCATCACGATCAATGATGGATCATGATCAGTGGGCGGAAGATTATGAAATATTAGCCGCGTCACACGCAATCTCGCGCGATCGCTCTTCTAATCGCGCAAAATTTCGCGCGTTCGTATGCAACACGTGCACGGTTTCCTGTGTGCGTCCGGCACGGCGAACTTCAGCCGCCGCGGCGGATTTCTGTGAAACGCATCGCGCGGGTCGCAGTTGATTATCTGACGAATACGTAATCGTGGAAACGATTGTGCCAGCAGATACCATTCGTTTCACGGTTCGTTGCTTTCGGCTACAATTAATTTCGTTTGCGCGGATTCGCTTCGCGTATAGATTTTGAAAAATTGCTACTCTGAAATATTTTGGCTTGCACAGGTTGTAACTCGTAACGGTTTGTATGTTTCCACGTTGAACAGCGGACGTCCAAGCTGGTCGGTCGAGAGTGAAATCCGGATGGGGCTGGGGCTCGCGGGGGTCGAACACGAAATGGACGACTCCTCGCACCTCGCACAACTCGCAGACCCACAACTCTCACGTCTCGCAGACCCACGTCTCGCAGTCGCAGAGCTCGCAGTCTCACACCCAGGGTCAAGGTAATTAATGTCCACCTACTAGGTACTCGGTGATGATCCGTTACCAATTCGAAATCTTAAAATGACAAGAGCGTCCAGAGAGACTAGACGAACAATTATTTTCAGCCGGATACCCAAAACAGACCGGCTCGAACTCCTCGCCCACGAACAGTCACGCGTCAGGTAATTAAGGTTCTTCGAATTTCTGTGCGGAGATCTGTGATCAATTCGAAATCTTAAAATGGCAACGGTATCCAGAGACTGGACGAACAAATATTTTCAGGTGGATATCCTCAACAGCCAGCATCGAATCCCTATTACACGAACAGCCAGTCGAATAAGCCTTCGAATCAGGCCTCGGGACAAGCGTACCCGGGCAGCCATGGAGCCTACAACCCTCCAGTGGGTCAGAGCTACAACGCTCCGGTGGGTCACGGTTACAATGGCCCGGTTGGTACCGGTTACAGTAATCCGGCTGGTACCGGTTACAATGGTCCGGTTGGTACTGGTTACAATGGACCGGTGGGATCCGGTTACAATGGTCCGGTAGGTGCAGGTTATAACCCTGGTGGTCTAGGACATTCACCCTATGGAGGACACTCTCCCTATGGTGGACAGCCGCACTACAACAGTCCACCTATGGGTGGACAGTACCCAAGTTACGGACAACCATCCTACGGGTCTGCGTTCGGTTCTATGGGACCTACGCCTCAGCAGACGATCCTCCTCCAGCAGTCGTCGAAACCAGGCATTGGGCAGTTAGCAAAGGAAGCGTTCGTTTACGCCGGAGTCAGCGCCGGTGTGAATGCTGCGGTGAATCGATTGATACCCGGAGGGATCTATGGCAATAGAGGAAGCAGCGCGGGGTCATCCGGTGTCGTACCACCAGTTTCGCACACCCAAATCACTTATAACAATTACTACAACAATGGCACCGCTCCAGAAGCAGCCGCTCCGGCAGCCGCTCCTGCAGCCGCTCCTGCAGCCGCCCCTGCAGCTGCCCCTGGAGCTGCACCCACGGCTCAACCTGCGGCCCAACCTGCTGCCGACGCTCCACAGACTCAACAGAACAACCCTGGCACCAACAACGCTTCACCATCGAATTCCAACTCCCAGGACTCCACCCAAAACAATCCTAATCCGCTGGGATTCGTTACTTCGAACGATGACCTCAAGAAGTTAACGGAGAGCTTGTACCAGAAAGAGAAGGACAATAATGCTTTCTCGCAAATAACTGTGAAGTTGCAGGGTCAGAAGAATGACGACACCACTTCGGACGATGCACCTGAACCGTATGTATCGGACGATTCGGATACATAAGGAAATTATTAAGTTGATATTACCTAGAAGGATAATTGCGACTGTTTCAGCTTGTTGGATGTGAAAGTCGAGGCCTACGATCTTCCGACTGTGAAGGCAGTGCTGGCTCTGCACGATAACTACGAGCTGGATGTCAGGAAGAAAGAGGTAGTCACCCCTGAGGAGCGCCACAAGGAGGCAGAACTTCTTGACAAGATCATGGAGACCGAGATCATGAAGTCTACCATGAAGTTTTTGGCTGAGAAAGGATACATTCCGGACGATGAGTACGAGTTCAAGGACTCCATGAAGCGCATTTGGTTCTCTCAATTCAAGCGAATCGACGGAGACCCATCCAGTTCTGGTTTTGAGACCGTTTTCCTAGCTGAACAGTTCGATAACGATATCCTTGGATTACACAATTGGATCTACTACGCCAAACAGGAAGCTGCGAAGAAGCTCAACTATCTTGGATACATGAAAGAGACCAAGCTGGGCGACGTAAGTTATCTACGACGACGCTCGATCCTTATGCATTCTTAGTTGTTTTATTTTTAATAACTAATTTGTACTCTAAATTGATAACAATTGCAGAAAGGTGCGATCATCAAGCTGCGCTCAAGCCTGAACGGAATAGTGCAACCGGTCAGCACATTATTTGTCGGCACATCACCCGAATTAGAATTTGCTCTGTACACGATGTGCTTCTTCGCTCGGCCGAACAGCCCCTGTCCAGTTTCACTCGGAGGAACGGATTTCACGATCTATGTGAGCAGAATCAACTACTTTGGGAAAGACATTTTGATTTCCGCATACCCCGACGTTTAATTCAGTCAATCAAAATTGAAATGTATGCATTAATTAAGTAGACTTAGTTACTTTTTAGATCGAATACGTACGGAATTGTAGTTTCTGTATAACAGTGTGCATATTAATAGATGCCTGCTATCTTATAATGTGAAGATGATCTAGGTTTTTCTATGTGAATGTGTTTGCGAGGATTACCTACCTGGGTAACGTTTTCGCTCCGTTTTTCTGACTCTGGCAGCTCTAGTATAGGCACTATGGATGGTCTCCCATGAGCGCATCGCGTGGGTATCTTTGTCTGATGTAATAGCGTCAGGAGCCACTTGCATTGTTGTAGTGTCAGTGGATCTCCAAATTTGATGGCTCCTAAAATACTCTGAACATTAGATGATAGTAAATACTGCGATGCATTCGAACGAATGAGATTATTCTTGTATCGATGTTTACTACTAAAAAATATACTTTAAGAATTTCCATTTTAAACGCTGTGTACTTTATTTCGAATATTACACACACCGTGGCAAGCTTCTGCTGCGATTGCATTGTGAATAGCGACCGGCAGATCGATAAATTCCTGGTGCCCATTGTTCAGAAAGTTCTGCAGCATTTCGTCTAAAAGATTTTGTACACTCATCTTTAGCTTGATCTCGTCACGGTGGTATTTATTTCTTTTTAGACATTCTGGCACTGTGCGCACCACTATTGTGTTATCATTTGCGACATTAAAATTGATTCCGTATCTTTTTAATTGCTTTCTATTCTTTACAAGTAAATCGCACTCTTCTGCATGTAACTGTACAACAACGGGATCTTTGAGTTTTGCGGAGAGTAGTTCGTTCTTGGTTTGTGACCTGTATACTGTACATTTTAATGGGCTATCGTTAGTGAAAAATCAGTGCATTATTTAAAAATCCGAAAAATATTATATTTACTGCGAAGTAAAGTTTCGTATCGTATTCTCTCGTGAATTGCATGTTGGTCAATCATCAATAGCATCTTTGTATCATTTTGAATTGCTAATGCTACTATTAATTCGTTATTCACCTGGCCCAATATCTAAAAATGATATTTGTTGCTAATTAAATGGTAATAAACTTGTAAAAAATCATTCTCGAGAGAGAGTAGGTTACCGTCACAAATTTTAAGAGATCTTTTCTTAATTTGAATTCGCGGAATCGTTGAGTATCTTTGCACGGACGTATATCAACTTCTTGGTGTAACAAAACATCTGGCACTAAAAGAATTTTAATGTTTCAGACTGTGCAAAATGGTGTAATTGTCTAACTAAAAAGTAAGCAAATTATAAAGTTTAATAAAAACTGCACTTACTGTTTAAACTAGATTTCAATCTGATCGACAATTCGCTTTCACTCCATTCGTTCATTACATCGGTTCTTGTCAATTTCTTATTGCCTCGTAAAAGTTTGTGCAATTTGTTCGGCAAGAAATCGAAGTGTTTATAATATTGTACAGAGCCTCCGAATTTCTTAGTTTCATTTAATTTGTTCGATTTATTGTCAATATAGGTCCAATTGGACCAGTCAGAAAACGTAAGTGCAATAGAGGCAGGAGTGAACTTTTGAATATCAGATACTTTACTCTTTGGTATTTGACTCGTTTCATATGATGGTATAGCATTTCTATTGTCTTTATCAGTATTCATTGCATCAGAATAATACAATGGTCTTGAACTGTGACTTCCAATTGTAGTTCCACAAGGAGGTGGAACTATAAGCTTTGTAGTTTCTTTTTGAACAACGTAACAGACTGTGTGTAGTACGCGATTCTTTTCGGAGAACAGTTTACTGGAAGTCCGCGGTTTTTCAAAGAATACAATACCATTTGTACTGTTTAAACAATTGTATATCAAATTTGTATGCCTTCTAACATTCTTCGAAAGACTTTTAGAAAAATGTATAGTATTGTTAAAAAATATATTGTATATTTCATTTCGAATACCAAATAGTAAATCCTGGATAGAAGGTAAGATCAAAGTTCTCTTTCTGTTCTCCATGGTAAAAATATAGTCTGTGCACGAGATAAACAACAAAATAAAAGTAGACTTCATTTTTGGTATTTCATGGATTCTTGATCCAACGAGAGATCTTACTCTGCCATTAAGGGCAGCTGAGATCATTTGAAGAATGTATGGACAATGAACAGGTCTATTGTTCAGGAAGATATACTGCAGAGCATTTGATTTTGTGTTACTTAGTCCAATGAATGCACTGAACTTTATACGAGATTCGTTGGTGTTGCTGATATGCCACAGATTATCAAATGATATTTCCTTATAATACAGCAGTTTGAAAATTTCTATAGATTCATGAGGTCTACCGACTGCCATGATAACTTTTGATTCCTGGTCATCTCTGATGGAAAATGACACCTAGAAGAACGAAGTATATATAACATTTATATATGAAGATCAATGTAATTAAACCTACTTGATAATTTAATAGAAATTTACGTGATAATTCACTATGGCAATGTTTCCAATGATGAAGTACATCAAGGGTATGTTCCACTTGTAAAATGTTAACTCATGAAGCCCATAGATGCTTACTGTAGTTCCACAGGATGGTCTCCTCTGAATATTGACAATGTTGGGTGACTGACACATTTTGAACACCTGTAGCCAAAAGAAGAGTGTCAGTCTTTAAGTGCAACAAGCATATTCATTACAATAATTTGTATACCTTCATGTATGTTTGAGATGAATTGCGATGTCTAGAACTGATCATCATAACATCAGACAACCTACGAATATTTGCAAGCGTTTGCTTGCGGGTGTTGCAAATGTCCTCAACGCTCCAACCAATCGTGCGATCATTATACTCTGCGACAGCTGTTAATTTGTCTCTCGAGATTCCTGCACCATTGTCCACCACTTGAACCTTACGTTTCTGCGCGTGAAATCGTATTGCGATCGCTGTTGCCTTGGCGTTCAATGAATTCAATACCTGAAGAGTTCGTAAAGAAAATAGAGATTATAGTTACACGAAAAATTGTCTGCATACCAATTCCAGCACACATTCTGGAAAACTGGTCACGTTCGACGTCGCAATTATCGAGGTTTCCATTTCACGGTTTCTATTGAAAAGATAATAATTTTGAATTTCAACTCCGGCGGAAACCTTTCCACCGATTCATTCGGCGATTGTAAGCGACCAATAGTGCCGCCGCTTTTCAAATCAGCGAAATAGGCTGTCGTACCGTGGATTACCGATCGTCGGTAAGAAGGTTTGTATTTTCAAATGACTCTTTGTTTGACTGAGAAAAGAAATGAAAAGTAAAAGAGATTAATCGAGTAGAACGATACGAACGAGTTTCGAGTCGAAAGGACATTGAAAGCAAAACGAGACACGTGTACGGACATATTTATAAAAATTTCTTTATTTTATTGCAACTACTGAAGAATTTTCACATGTCGCGCTGTCGCAGCTTCGCATTCGCATAAATCGTGGAAAACGATGATCGCATACTTTTACACACAGAATACGTGGGTGTTTATACGATAACGACTTCTCTCGGTTTTTTCTTTATCCGGCTAAGAGTATTTCGAATACAATTTACGAACGTTTAATTGTGTGTGCGCAAAAGGAAGGACTTCGAATCATTAATGACGTGGTGTATATGTACGTGTGCAACGCGTGGTATCCTATTGATGCTCGTAGAAATTCGAAATGCATATGCCGTGATGACTCCTATTGATTTCGTTCGACGTTCGCGTTCGTGAGTCGCTTTCGAAAATTATTACACTGTTGATCACGTTCTGATAATTAATAACAGACGTGCCTAAATTATATTCCGCCTTACGTGTAGAAAAACTTAACAACTGTAACGGGTATGTCAATATATCCGGCGCCGGTATAAAGTTAACACGTTCGCCGCTGTTCATTTATCAGCTTCGAAATCCTTTCAACTACTCCTACTGTTATTTAAATCAAAGATTGGGCAACATTTAATGCAATTAACGATCAGCTATCACAATTGAAATATTTGATAATCAATTGCAATTAACGATTAAACTTGTAATGCAACTGATATATCATCGCATTTACCTAAAAGTAGGGTACTTAATCGTCAATTGCATTAATCATTAAATTAATTACATTACATCGATGTATACATATAATTAGCTGTTCTACTTAGTCGATTCAAATTTTGATTAAAAGTTAACGATCAATGTTTAACGGTTAATATTATTAATTGATCGGTAAAATCAAAAATTAGTACCCGACTCTGATTTAAAAGTTTCAGAAAGGTTTCAGTGGCGGACGTGCCAACGAAATTTTCCTAATTAAGATAGATCGAATTACGGTTCCTGAGTTTGTCTTTTACAGCACTTACCATCGAACGTCGTTTTACCCTCGTGTTTTTTTTCTTTTTTTTTTTTTTAGTTATTCATCTTTTCATGCGAACGTTCAACAAAACGCAACTAAAAGGGAAGCTTAATTTACGTAGAAATACGTAGTTACATACGTACGCATTGGGGCACGTAACGCGCGTAAAAAATGTTTACTCCCGATCTCTCATTCGTCGTAACGGATCAATATAATCGATATTATTACAAATATTACGTCCAACAGAACAACGTTTTTACAATGTATAATTAAAAAGACAAAAAAAGAAGTATTAATAAAAATACGATCGTTCAGATAAGGTGAATCACGCAGAAAAGCTAATCGAGTTAACGTTTACCTGCGAATAATTCCATCTCTCTAACACACACGCTTCGACCAGTGTTCTTACGCATCGGACGTGTACACATTATATATATATACATTGAAGATCGCGAAAAGCATCCCATGAAAACGTCTACTTTAGTTATTGCTGTGTCTCTCGCGGCTCACACTTTTCTGATACATTGGAAGAATAACTTTTCTCCTAATCTTTTTTCTCCTTGGAAAAGCAGACGCTTCGTTCCTCGTGCGTACACAGTATTACGAGCACTAAGACGGTACTTCAAATACCACCCCTGGTAAAATGTAATCATCGTGATTCAGTCATTATAATTATTCGTATATTTGTCGTGAAAATTGTTTGTATTCACGGCAGAGACAAATAGAATAGTAAAACTTGCCATATATAAAAAGAAAATATGAATATAAAAAGGAATCTATTCTTTTACAATCATTCTCAAGCATTGAGAAAATTGTTTAGCAATCTCTGCCGGCGTCCCTTAATTATTTTATACCACGGCTAATAAAAAGAATGGAGTCTCCCCGATGCCAAAACACTGTACCCGTGGGTGGTCGCTTTCCGAGAGTCGTCAGGAAGGAAATCTGTATAACTCACCGACAGTTTAATCATCACAGACACACACGTGTTTCAGATTCTCTGTCGCGATTACGATTGTTAGGCGCACGTGATCTTGAACACTGGTTGCACGTCGCCCTTTCCTTCGAATTTCGTTCACTTTTTTTTTTCTTTAATTGTTAGGAAATAATTGGAGATCAACGAAACGAAACGATTCCGTTATGAAATAAAGACGCGCCAGAACATACAACTCACAGCGGAATTAACGGTATACTTTTTCTCGCACCCGAGACGATTATAATTATCCTAATTTTTCCCGAACCTGGCTGATCCGGTCGCATATCAGACATTTCGAGAAAGTGATAGTAGAGGAGAAAAAGAGAGAAAGAGAGAGGATGAGAGAGAGTGAGGAGGGGTGAGAGGGAGGAAGAGGGAAAGGGGGAGAGAGAAGAGGGGGAGGGAGAGAGAGAGAGAGAGAGAGAACGGAATAAAACGAGTGTGTTTACAGTTGTTCTGGTTGTTGCGGTTGTAGCGAGCTCGGAAAAAGTCGGTACTCGTAATACTAAAAAAAATTAGAAGAACTTAGCGAGTAATATACACGTGGAAAAGCATCGAAAATATCGGATTGAAAGCTCGCCGTCTAATAAAATGGTATTGATGGCTTTATTGTAGTAAAATTATAGTAATAACAATCACATATGGTGTCATCTATCAACGAGATATAACACGCACGTTTGAAATGATGGGGGACATACATAAATAATTTAGACGTATCGTGTGGCTTGACGTAGTGCTTAGAAATCATGTAACATTAAAAATATATATATACATATATATGCGTATATATATTTATATATATATATATATTTATATATGTATATTTATTTATATATATATATAATATGTATAAATTGTTGAGTTATTTCCTATAAATATCTTCTAAAATCTGGCTTGGCAAATGAATCACTTAGAAACAAATTCTCACAATTTTTTGTTGTCATTATCTTTAGGCACCAATGGTATGCAGACCCTGTCTTTGGTACATACGACCGATTCGATTTTTCTTATTATATCTGAACGCGGAGAGTGCGGCCTCCCCGTGTCTCCCGGGATACGTGTTCAAAGAATTGATTCGTTAGCGATAATGCACTGTCTTGCTTTTGTTCCTCCATCGTTTGTTCGTTTACACATTGTTCGTTACATGGTCAAGTTTCGTCTTTGTTCCAGTCCGATATCCAGGAATCAATTGAGATATTCCTCGATCAACGATACAGTCCTTAAACAACATTCTCGGTAACAAAAACTCAGTCTTCTTCCTTTTTCTCTGGTTTCAAGTCCACCATTGCGTGAAGCTCCTCCGGACTGTATCTGCAATCGAAACGTACAAGTTCAAGGCAAACGTTCCAAACAAGGCGGCAATGGCGACCACGAGAACAACAAAAACAACGAAAAAAGGAAGACAATATCACTGACCCTAGCAGGCTCTGCAAGTCGCAGACGAAACGGTAGACGTACCGCTTCCCAGCGGTCTTATGGATAATGTTCTTGTCGTAATAGTAGCGAAGACCACGACTCAGTTTCTCGTAGTTCATCTTAGGCTTGTTCTTGCGAATACCCCAACGACGCGCCACCTCGTCCGGGTCTGTCAGCTTGAACTCCCATCCGTCCCCGGTCCACGAGATGAACCCTTGGCAGGATTTGTCTGTTAAGAGCTCCAACAGGAACTGCCACAGCTGGATGGGGCCTGAACCGGTGAAGCACGGTCCACTGTCTAGAAATTCAGCCAATTTCAACGTCCGTCGATATCATCTTACAGCGATTTCAAACCGTTAGCGTTCGTTACAGGTATAACTCACTTGTATAACCAGCGATCATCGCGCTCTGTAACAAGGGCTTCTGGTCGGGGTTGTTGCCGATTGAGGAGGGATGATGGGGGTTAGAGGAATCCCTGGGACCAAGGCTCGCGAGGAACGCGGGGTGATGGGACAGGTGTTCTCCGATGGGACCAACGCCCCATTGGTCACCGCTGACGCCGCCAGCTCCACCGCCGCTTCCGCTTCCGGGAACCGTTTGGAATGGCGTCGCATCGTACTGTCCGTATCCACTCTCGCTGTAGCCTTCGTGGTAGCGACCTGTTCACGATACGTTCAAGTTTAATCATGATTCGCCGTTGCCGGTGGACAAAATCGGATCGAATTGAAATCGGAGCTCACCGCGTGGATAGTTCTTGAACGGGGACGGTTGATACTTCGGCTCGAGCTGAATTCCGCTGGTGCTGTAAAACTCTGGCGAACCGTCTAGATTGTAGGGATGGGGCGGCTGATGGTCCTGCGGCAGGCTGTGGTACTCGGAGGTCTCGTCGTACCCGGAATAGTGAGCCGGTGTCATATAGCTCTCCGTGGCGGCTTGGCTGACCCTGAGGTCGCTCTCGTTGGTCCCTGTGCCCGCGAGATCATTGCCGCTCGTCAATGCTCCGCCACCCCCTTGCAGGTGCTCCGTTATATGGTGATTGCTGTAGTTCGCTGCAAGATCGACCACCGTTTTACAAACCGTTTTCAAAAAACGTAACCGGCCGACGAGCCTCGTCCCATCGAGGCGCCGATACTTACACTCCGTTTTGAGTTGATTTAAGTTCCGTAGATGAATGTACGCGTTGTTCGCGGTGTTGTTGTTATTGTTATTATTGTTACTGTTCGGCGTACTGGAATGAGAGTTCGGTGCTTGAGTGCTATGGCTATGCGGTGGCGGCGGCGAGGTCTCGTCTCTCTGGTTCTCGTCTTGGCACACGGGACTGCGTAAGTGGTTGTAGCCTCCTGAAACCAAACGGAAATTCGTCGTTCAACGAGTTCGTGCTTCGGAAAGCGGAGAACAGTTCACAGGTACCATGGGGGGGGGGGGGGGGCGGAAGGATTGGGAGTTGGGACGTTA